TGCGGGTGTGGGTGTGGGTGTGGGTGTGGATGTGGGTGTGGGTGGGGTGGGTGTGAGGGTGTGGGTGTGGGTGGGGTGTGGGTGCGGGTGTGGGTGTGGGTGTGGGTGTGGGTGGGTGTGGAGTGTTGGTGTTAGTATGATTTAAAAGAGGCCACACCCACACCCTCCTTCTTTCTGCTGTGCTGCCATGGGAAAAGAAAACTTCTGAATTCAATATCTTGGTAAAAATAAATTGAAAAATCGAAAAAATTTCAAGTTATATGTAGCTCAACGAGCTCTACAACATATCCAAAAGCAGAGGGGAGGGACCCCTTAACATTAAAAGAAAAGAAAAAATTGAAACAGACAACACGTGGATATATATGTTAAGATAAGCAAACTACGTTTATCTAGTTCAAAGGAGAAAGAAACAAATATCGAAAGAAAGGTTCGCTTCAATAAGATAACAGAATGCAATAATCGAATATAAGGCAACAGAAAAGAATTCATAAAACGTATTATTGAAAATAATACAAAAAAACTGAAAAATTCACTAAAACAAATCAATTCAACTCAATTTATAAGCTGGACGAGTTGAACTGAAAATATTTGATGCCACTGATCGGTTTTGAGCTGAGTTAAATAGATAAAATATTTTAAAATTAGAATGTATGAGTTGTACTAAATTCGTCTACTTTTTAGCTTCAATCGCCTAGCTTTGGAATCTCAACCATGTCCCGTCATGTCAATTATTTTTATATCTTTTATTAACTCAATTGCTGATTCCAAAAGATTTGCTCTTATACAATAAAATATGCTATTTTACTACTTTGACGATAAAAATATCACATCAATGGAACTAAAGAAATCAACCAATAATATTTCAGTATTATTTGCTTCTTTAGATGATTGTATGATAGAGAAAAGTCTTGATAGAAAGATTCTTTTTATTTTTACTTTTTCTTACTATTATCAATTGAAATCTTTGATTCTTTTAAAGAATATATATTGTTTATTGTACCGACATCTGTCAACCAAAAAATCCTAGTTTAAATATTATTCCAATACAGAAGCTTTGATTTGAGTAAAGACGAACACAAAAAGAAAAAATAAGACCCAGTTTGCACGATTTTGAATACATATTTTCTTTTCTCTTAGAATCAAAATTGGTCTATATTAAAATATGAATTAAATTAGTAGATGATTCAATTTTGAAATAAGTATTCTAAGAAATTTATGTAAAAAAAATGAATGAATTGATTTTTCAAGAATTTCTTTTACTTTAATCTTTTTTCTTTTGCATGGTTCTGAGGATTAATTTGATTTTTAATTAGAGCATTTGATTAATCTATTTTTCAAGTGAATTATTATTTTTTTAACTTGAATTGTGTATGACTCATATTTTCAGTGTCATCAAAAGCTGGATAGAAAAGAGTCAAATATAGACTAGTTTCTAATTGGTAGCACTGGTCACGGAACTTTCTTTTGGAACCTTTACCATAGTTTTGGAACTATTGGAACTTTTTTGTTCTTCGCTTTAACAGATTTTTGAGGATGAGGGTGAGGATAAATGTACGAGGTTGATGGTGAGGATGAGATTGTGCGGTTGAGAGTGAGGATGAGGGTATGACGGATCTTGATGATGGCAGTGAGGTGATGATAAAGATTAGGGTCAGGATGAGGATGCATAGTTGAAAGTAAGGAGGATGAATGGTTGAACGTTTGAATGGATCTTGGTGCTGATTAAGTTGTGGTAACAATGGTTCTTCCATAGGCGGGGCGAAGAAGCTGTGAAAACGAAAAAGGAACTAGTTCCAATAGTTCCAGAACTATCGTAAAGTTTCTAAAAGTTACGTGCGTGGCCACCCCTCCTAATTGGTTCAAAACAGCAAGGATAAGCTACATACACTTTTGTATTTAGCGTGTGTATCTAGCTTATCTTAACCCCTCGGTTGAATAGTCAATTTATCTCAGTTATAGTTACTTCATCTAATGACAAAAAAGGCCGATAGATGGTGATATCATCTTTCAGAATTTACAATTATACAACAAATTACAAATGCAGTACTTTCACAAACAACGCTAAGTACAAAATGAAGTACCTCAATATTCCATCACATCCTTTTCTCAGCAAAGTTTTAACCGTTGTTAATACACAGCTTTAAACTTACTATTTCATCATGTATTAGAAACTGTTAAAGAATCGCATTTATGACATAAATGAGGAATTATTCAGCATTGACTCAAAAACAGTAAACTCTTCAAAAGAAAACGGAGAAGGATCAACTCTTATCCGCATAGTGATAAACCATTGGATGGAAAGAGGAGAAAGATCAGCCCTTAGTCGTAGAGTACTGAACCCTTCGAAGGTATGGAGAGAAGGATCAACCTTAATTCGAACAATACTAAACCCTTCAATAGATAAAGGAGAAGAGTCAAATCCTATCCGTAGAATGATAAACCCTTCGAAGGAAAGGGAAGAAAGATCAACCCTTGATCGTAGAATAACAAACCCTTCGAAAAGATAGAGAAAAGGTTCAACCCTAATTCGTACAATGATAAACCCTTTGAAGGAAAGGAGAGAAAGATCAATCCTAATCTGGAGATTGGTAAACCTTTCAAAAGGAAGGGTGTGTGGGTGTGGGTGTGTGGGTGTGGGTTTGGTGGGTGCACTCTAAAAAAAAAAGGTTTTTTACCGAACCTAAAAAGGATCTTATCCTCGGTACACGGTAAGATCCTTTTTTGGTTTCGTAAAAAACGAGGTTTCGTAACAAACCATCTTTGGAAAGCTGGAATAAAGGTTTCGTAACAGAGGTTTTGCACAAAACCATTTATGAATAACTAAAATAAAGGTTTCGTACAAAAGGTTTCGTACTAAACCTTTTTACCAAACTAAAAATAAGGTTCTGCGGACAAGGTTCCGTACCGAACCTATACAAGAAACAGAAAAAAAGGTTCCGTACAGATAGTTTTCTGCTAAACCTTTACTACAAATTAAAACAAAAGGTTTCGTACATAATGATTCGCAGTAAACCTGTTTTTAATCGCCCAGCCAGTCATTCATTTAGTTTAAACTTGAACCAACTGATGACTATGGCGTTTGAATCAATCTATAATATACTCTAGATTGATTCAAATCTCATAGTCATCAGTAGGTTCGATTTTAAACTAAATGAATGATTGGCTGGACGATTACAAACAGGTTTAATGCGAATCAATCTATAATAGAAAAATAAATAGATTTATTTTATTATATAAAATCAAACTTACTCTTGATTTTGATGTTTGAAACAATCTATAATAGAAAGATTAATATAAGTTATTTACTATATATTAAACTTACCTGTTCCATGTGTGAGTCAACCTATAATAGAAAAATAAATAGATTTATTTTATTATATAAAATCAAACTTACTCTTGTTTTTGAGGTTTTAATCAACCTATAATAGAAAACTTAATATAAGTTATTTAATATATAATAAACTTACCTATCCCATATGTGAGTCTACCTATAACAGAAAAACAAATAGATTTATTTTATTTTATAAAATCAGACTTACTTTTTTTTTAGGCTTCAATCAACCTATAATAGAAAACTTAATATAAGCTATTTACTATATAATAAACTTATCTATCCCATGTGTGAGTCAACCTCAAGGGGGAAAGTGCAGGCACCCAGCACTTCAGCACCTGCTCAGCGCCTCAGCACCTGTTTGGCACCTTCCACACCTAGTCAGCACCGTCAGCACCTTGTAATAAAATTTAGTCCATAGGCTCTGCCCTTAAAATTTTATCGCAAGGTGCTGAAGAAGCATTTAAGATAGTGGGAGAGTGGTTGAAGGTGCTGAAGGTGCTCATAGTGAAATGCGCTAAAGATGTGGAACAGGTGCTGAAGGTGCTGACTAGGTGTCAAACAGGTGCTGAGGTGCTGGGTGTCTGTATTTACCCCCTTAGTCAACCTATAACAGAAAAATAAATAGATTTATTTTATTTTATAAAATCAAACTTACTCTTGATTTTGATGTGTGAATCAATCTAAAATAGAACAAAAATTAATTTAATTTATAGAGTCAAACTTACTCTTGTTTTTGAGGTTTCAATCAACCTATAATAGAAAACTTAATATAAGTTATTTAATATACAATAAACTTACCTATCCCATATGTGAGTCAACCTATAACAGAAAAATAAATAGATTTATTTTATTTTATAAAGTCAAACTTACCCTTGATTTTGATGTTTGAATCAACCTATAATAGAAAAATAAATAGATTTATTTTATTTTATAAAATCAAACTTACTCTTGATTTTGATGTTTGAATCAACCTATAATAGAAAACTTAATATAAGTTATTTACTATATATTAAACTTACCTGTTCCATGTGTGAGTCAACCTATAATACAAAAATAAATAGATTTATTTTATTTTACAAAATCAAACTTACTCTTGATTTTGATGTTTGAATCAACCTATAATAGAAAACTTAATATAAGTTGTTTACTATATAATAAACTTACCTATCCCATATTTGAGTCAATCTATAATAGAAAAATAAATAGATTTATTTTATTTTATAAAACCAACCTTACTCTTGATTTTGATGTTTGAATCAATCTAAAATAGAACAAAAATTAATTTAATTTTTAAAATCAAACTTACTTATGACCTTCTTGCCTTTGGCAATCTATAATATACGATTAAGCGGAATAAAAAAATATAATATTTTTTGAAACATTACACTCACT